GTTTGTTGACTGACCTTTGTATTTGTTCAAATAATTGTTATGGGCAGGTTACAATATAAAAAATGTTTGTCATAATCATGTCTTCTGATTATTTGACAGTTTTACTTTTAAACTGTAAGTGTTTTTAATTTACTTATGTTAGTTATGATAGTTTAGTCATGATGTAAATCCAATAAAAAATTAAACCAAGATTTAGAATAATTATCATTTTGATCCATACAGTGGTAAAGTCTGACTGGGCCTCGTGTCGATTTATGTTCAACAAATTGGGCCTTGAGGTCAAAATTGTTAAGAACCCCTGCTCTAGTTGTACTAAGAAAAAAAATGGGATCAATTTAAATTTTACACAAGCTTCTAAGATCTAGAAAAGTATTTGCAAAACCAGAAATTTTGACCCAGTAGGACAACTACAAAAGTAGCATTTTTAAGTTCATACTCCAGGAGGCAGTATCAACAAGTTTCTGCATTTACTGATAGACTCCGCCCAGTTGTTGTGCTCCGCCCTCATGTAGGCGGGGCCAAACGCCGGGAGTCTCGTGTCTAGTCGTGGCAGCGACGGATGCAATGGCACAGTTTACCGTGAGGCTGAGCAGTATTTCTTTTCCAGGCACTTTAAAAACAACAAGGTAATGGTCTCAACCGACGAAAACCCAGTGACTCCTCCTGAAGATAGAAGAAAGAAAAAGTAAATTTATTTGTTGGGCTTTTGGTCGGTGAACGGTTGACACGTCGGCGCGTGCAAAGTTAAGTTTCCTAAAGACTTGCCAAAAACTCTCCAGAAGAGGCTGAACGGTGAGTACTCAGTCCTAAATTTATCCTTTACGCTTTGTAGAAACGTGAAAACAACTCCAAGTTTCAATTTTTATTGCATTAACTAATGAAAAATGGGCTTCAAAATTTAAAAATTCAATATTATAAAACAAAATGCGTTTTAAATGATATGCTAAATACAGTATATATCAACCATAAGGAAAACAAAAGTAATGTTTTGGTGTTCATCACATTTCAAAGTACAAGGAAGATTAGTTTACCGTGATAGTGATTAGTTTTTGATAAGGATGTGATTATTCCATTAACCCTTTAACCCACTGTCTTTCTCCAGCTGAAAGGGCACATCTGCCAGCCGTCCTGAAGAAAATGAACCCACCAGTGGCAGTGCAGATGTCAGCCACCATCAGTTAGATGTTTGTGCTTCTCGGTTGGATATCTGGTCGAAGAGGAAAGAGAGAAATCGGAGGAAAGGAGCTGCTCAGGCTGCTGGAAGATGTCTCTCTGGATGATCCTGCCTGTCAGCCTCCCAGTCCTGAGCATCACTGGGATCTGGGTTGTGTGAGTTTTTACATCTCTTCCACAATAAAATTCACTTTTTCAAGTCTTAAATAAGGATTAAAAACTTACCGGTCACGTAGAATGCAATTAGCAATGCTACGAATAATTTAAACTAAGCTTTATATAGTTTATTATCCATCCATCCATCCATTTTCTGTACACGCTTCTTCCTTTTCAGGGTCGCGTGGGTCACTGGTGCCCATTTCCAGCAGTCACAGTGCGAGGGGCGGGGTACACCCTGGACAGGTCGCAAGTCCATCACAGGGCCACACACAGAGACAAACGAGACAAACAACCATTCACTCTCTCACTCGCACCTAGGGACAATTTAGAGTTATCAATTAACCTAACAGTCATGTTTTTGGTCTGTGGGAGGAAGCCGGAGTACCCGGAGAGAACCCACGCATGCACGGAGAGAACATGCAAACTCTACCCAGAAAGGTCCCCGGACCGGGATTTTGAACCGGTGACCTTCTTGCTGAGAGGCATCAGCTCTACCAACTGTGAGCCAAACCAAAAACCAATAGACAGCTCATTGTCTCCAGAATTCAGCAGATCATTGCTGCACATTTATCCTGAATTCCTTGGAGCCATGGCAATCGGCACGTGGATTACGATCAGGGATTTTCATCTCCCTCTTAAAAGTGAGACATGTATATTTACAGTGCAGCTTTGCCATCAGCTGAATAGTATTTGAATGATACTTGGGGACAAAAGGACTATGTTTTATGAACTCTTCCCCCAGTTCTGTCATTTTCTGAGGAGGGGGAACATAATCCCTGAGGAGCAAAAAGAAAAACATATGGCGCAATTTTAAATAGAGTTCTGTTTTCAATCTGTGTTACATCAGCAGTGAGTCTTGTTGAGAAATGGCTTGTTTGTGTTTGCAAATGCAACCGTTTCAGTCATCAGAATCATTATCTGAAAGTTCAAATTTAGTGTTGTCATAGATAGGATTTTTTTGTACTTTATAGCTTTTTCAGGTGGAGCTATGCTAATATTGTACTGGCAGTCCTTTAAAACCCACGTTGCAGTTGTTTTCCAGTCTACTGGAAAGCTGAAATATGTGAAATGTTGCCTAACTCCTCTTATTTGTAGGTAAATTCTGGAAATTGTTGGGCAATAGGGGGTTCTCAGGCGGTATTTTTCCTTCAACATCTGGTGACCAATTAGAGTTCCTGCAACCTCTGTGTTGAGAAACGCTTCTGCCCACCCAAGAACCGTGACTGAGCTACGTTTGTTTGCCTTTTAATGGTTTAATTTTTAATGACAGCACAACTTTATGAGTCTATATTTGAAACAAATCAGCTGCAGCGCTGAGATGCGAGTATAATTAACAATACGCTTCCCATTTTCACTCGTATAGTTTATTCAACACCGCCCTCTTCCCGAGGCTATTTTGGCTCATCTTTTGGGAATTTTCTCTGCGCAAACCAGATTTTTCCACTGAAAGCTTTCTCTCTACTCCTTGTTTGGAAAACGCGCACACGCACGCACGCACACACACACACACAGTCTTTTTTTTTTTCATACAGCTCGCAGGCATGCAATTACACTATACAACTGCTGCTGAGCTTTGATGGAAGGCTAATTATGTAAACAAACCTATTATTACTGTGCTTCCTTCAAGCACGTGGTGCTGTTTATTTATCCACATTTATTTAACAGAACAACTTTATTTTGAGTCATCTCACAGCTACATTGATGCTATTTTAGCCTTTAACGTTGAATATACAGTGGGGAAAATAAGTATTTAGTCAGTCACCAATTGTGCAAGTTCTCCCACTTAAAAAGATGAGAGAGGCCTGTAATTGACATCATAGGTAGACCTCAACTATGAGAGACAAAATGTGAAAAAAAATTTGAGAAAATCTTTTTGTCTGACTTTTAAAGAATTTTTTGCAAATAATGGTGGAAAATAAGTATTTGGTCAATAACAAAAGTTCATCTCAATACTTTGTTGTATATCCTTTGTTGGCAATGACAGAGGTCAAACGTTTTCTGTAAGTCTTCACAAGGTTGGCACACACTGTTGCTGGTATGTTGGCCCATTCCTCCATGCAGATCTCCTCTAGAGCAGTGATGTTTTGGGGCTGTCGGCGGGCAACACGGACTTTCAACTCCCTCCAAAGGTTTTCGATGGGGTTGAGATCGGGAGACTGGCTAGGCCACTCCAGGACTTTGAAATGTTTCTTACGAAGCCACTCCTTTGTTGCCCTGGCAGTGTGCTTGGGATCATTGTCATGCTGAAAGACCCAGCCACGTTTCATCTTCATTGCCCTTGCTGATGGAAGGAGGTTTGCACCCAAAATCTCACAATACATGGCCCCATTCATTCTTTCATGTACACGGACCAGTCGTCCTGGTCCCTTTGCAGAGAAACAGCCCCAAAGCATGAAGTTGCCACCCCCATGCTTCACAGTTGGTATGGTGTTCTTTGGATGCAACTCCGCATTCACTTTCCTCCAAACACGACGAGTTGTGTTTTTACCAAATAGTTCTACTTTGGTTTCATCTGACCATATGACATTCTCCCAATACTCTTCTGGAACATCCAAATGCTCTCTAGCAAACTTCAGACGTGCCTGGATATGGACTGGCTTAAGCAGGGGGACACGTCTGGCACTGCAAGATCTGAGTCCCTGGCGTCGTAGTGTGTTGCTGATGGTAGCCTTTGTAACATTGGTCCCAGCTTTCTGCAGGTCATTCACTAGATCCCCCTTGTGGTTCTGGGATTTTTCCTCACCGTTCTTGTGATCATTTTGACCCCACGGGCTGAGATCTTGCGTGGAGCCCCAGATCGAGGGAGATTAGTAGTGGTCTTGTATGTCTTCCATTTTCTGATTATCGCTCCCACAGTAGATTTCTTCACACCAAGCTGCTTGCCTATTGCAGATTCAGTCTTCCCAGCCTGGTGCAGGTCTACAATTCGGTTTATGGTGTCCTCCGACAGCTCTTTCGTCTTCACCATAGTGGAGTTTGGAGTGTGACTGTTTGAGGTTGTGGGCAGGTGTCTTTTTATACTGTTAACAACTTCAAACAGGTGCCATTAATACAGGTAATGAGTGGGGGAAAGAGGAGCCTATTAAAAAAGAAGTTACAGGTCTGTGACAGCCAGAAATCTTGCTTGTTTGTAGGTGACCAAATACTTATTTTCCACCATTATTTGCAAAAAAATTCTTTAAAAGTCAGACAAAATGATTTTCTCAAATTTTTTTCACATTTTGTCTCTCATAGTTGAGGTCTACCTATGATGTCAATTACAGGCCTCTCTCATCTTTTTAAGTGGGAGAACTTGCACAATTGGTGACTGACTAAATACTTATTTTCCCCACTGTACGAACAAACTGCTTCTCCAAAGTTATAGGAACTTCTAGAAAAACTTTAGTTTTCTTGTTTCATCGTGATTATTATCACACTGTGCTGAAAGCTGTAGACAGATTATAATGCTTTTGTCCATGTCTATGTGTGTTTGTCTGTTAGCACAATATCTCATGGACCAGTGGAAAGATTTTAATGAAATCTTGATGACATAATCATTGGATGTAGGACTATAATTGAAAACCTTTTTAGAATAAATCCAATCCAAGATGGTTACGACAGCAAATATATTAGCCAACACAAAAATTGACCATCACTCCATCACTTCTGAAGATATTGAGCTCAAACTTGATGTGGTAGTAGCTGAGAGGCATCCCCAACACATACTTAGACCATGACATATCGCGATATAGCACGATAAAACTAACAGAGCAGGTGAAATGCATTACATGAAGTACACAAAAGGCTTTATTTTGTTTTTGTTTTTATCTCTGCAGTGTCGTCAGAGCTCAGATCCGACTGTCGTCTTCCTGACAGCCACATCACTTAGTTTTGTCACACATTTTACAACATGCAGTGATTCACAAAGTGACCAAAACCACTTGCACATTTTACAAATTACGTGTAGTGTTTGTAAAAGTGTAAAAATAGACTGGGTCAACGACAAACAAATCCCTCTCTGTGGTGGTTCTTTAAGAGAAGCTAGTTCACACGAATTGGCTTTAAATGTGTCTAAATAACAGCAGTAATTGGTAATGAGCGCAACGGCTGTTGTGTGTGTCTATGTGTAAAACTGTGTGTTTGTTGGTGACTTGTAGGCACTGTGTGTTTCTGATTGACTGTATCACTGTCTTCTAAAAACTGATTGGTGAGGATACTATGACCACAAAAAACATTCCTAATTGGCACTTACACTCTCACTGAACTATGTCTGCTTTCACAAATCAGGACAAACTGTCTCTCCGTCTGCCTCTGATCAAGCTCTATCCATCAGGCACACCAATCAGTGCCCCCCCCCCCCCCCCCCCCCCCCCCCCACATACAAACACACAGACACACACATCTTTAACTATTTCCCTGTGTATGAATGCAAAGGGTGATAAATTGACAATTGGATTTCCTTCCTGTGTGTCTTCTCGGGAGACCCGATTTAGATTTATGTCTTACTGATCGCTCAGATTTCTTTTATCACATTTGTAGTTAAATCACCTATTTTTGGTGTATGTAAAAGGACGTGTGAACCTCAACTAGTATTGTTTCACTTTGCAAGTTTAGATTGTCTAATATGCAGACACGTTGCACATTTTTCCTGTGTTGTGGTTTGGATGTTGTTGCAGCAGATGAGGGCATGCATGGACAAAGCAACCAGACAGCTCAGGTATGCACGTAACTGCAGGTGAAATAATCAACGGCCACGTGTTAAAGCCTAAAGACAGCTTTATCTTAAAGGAAGCGTCAGTCAAGACAAGTTACTTCACTGGGAGCAACAAGTCTGCACCCATAGTTCAGCCCTGTGTCACTGAGGCAGCTGAAAATTATTATTAATAGATTAGGATCAGACCTCAACACAATTTAATTTTACAAAAGAAGATGTTCCCTAGATTTGTAAGTGAAAGAGTCTTTTTACGACACCTGCTTAACCAAGTTTGTCTTATAGTAATGCATAGAATAATAGACAAACTATTCAGGAATAAACTAGTAAAAATCAATATCTGTCTTTGATTTTATTTGAACTAATGACTGTTCTGGTTCAAATCATCAATTTAAAAATACAACAAATCTGCTTTAAAAAAGCAACAACTTAGAATTGAATATTTCATCCATCTGTGGAAAAATAAACATAAATACAGTATGCCACATTCATTATAAAACAATCACCAAATCCCAGTAAGGGTCTTCTTGACTCTGACTTAATAAAGCTTCAAACTTGTGATCTGCTGGTCAGTGAACCTTCTGAGGATGCAGCTGGTCAGTGAACCTGACTAAATAAACTCCCTCAGCTGATAGTCACTGTTAGTTGTGCAGCTTTAAAACAAACCAGTCTTTGAACTCAGTTGTCAAACATCTGTCTGGTCACCTGGTCCGTCAAGATGAAGGTCAAACTGGCAGAGTTTTAATGTCACAGATTTCCTTTATTTTACAATTAATTACCTAAAAGATGGATGTGCATTTAAAAATGCACAAGCAGCTCACTGCACCACAGAAATCAGCAAATAAAGACCTAATTGTTTAACCCAGCTTATTTGTATTAATCAACTCTTAGTGTCATTCACACTGTTGTTTTTCTATTTCTCTTTAGTCTGTGCAAAATGTACAATCGAACTACCTCTGCTTGTCATTTTAGCCATTTATTTATTGAAACGTTGAGCTCGTTTAGAAGATGGGTGTATTTAATTCAGCACTAAGCATTCACATTGCACTTTCTGAACAAAAAAAAAAACAATTACCCTATTTAAAAATTGATACATACTGAGTTACTTTCTTATATTTTAAATAAAAAAGTATTAACTGATTCTCTTCCATTTTGATTAATGATTCTGTCTTCACTTTAGGTACGCCATGGCCCTGTACAACCAGCATGTCTGTCCTGTCAACAACTGGTATGTTGTTTAATCTGTTCTGTATTTTGTCTCCTAAATCTGATGATTTCGACACATTTACCAGCCACTGCCTAACAAGAACAGGGTGATATTGTTCTCTCTACAAAACAAAATGATCTAGTTTTCTACATTAGAAAATTGTAGTGTCAGGTCGGCTAAGAAGTACGCATTTGAGAAACAAAATAGCAAAATTTGCATTTTTGAACTGTGATTTGTTTACTTTGAGACTGGCTGTTTGTTGTTCAGAGCAGTTTTGCACAGTGCTACTTTTGAGAACACAGATCTGTTGATAGAATGTCTCAGTCAGGATTGAGACAGGAAACAGGATCAGAGTAATCCTGGACCAGATTTATTTGCATCATTCTTGAAAAAAAGTATTACACAGATAATAATAGTGTTTTGATGCATATTTGCTTTGTATTCTAATGCTGCAGGTTGTACAACCAATCATGTGAGGAGGAGCTGTATTTGCAGAGTGGTCCGTCTTTTTGCTGCACATTAGATAATGTACCTCTCATCAGGTAACTCCCACCCTAAGGGACCTAATGCTATCATTCTTCTGTTTTTTTTTTTTTTTTTTTTGTGTCTGCTGATTTAATGTCGGGAAAACCGTCCCATTGTTTTACACGACCTGCACACTGTTTATAAAAAAGCGAACGAGCCTGAAGGAGACTATATTCCTGTGAGCGTCTGTGTGTGCTTTCTGAAAATAGCTTTTGGCTGATCCGTCGTGTCTGCCACGGTGGCAGTTCAGAGGCACTCACTTAGCAGTGTAAACACACTCTCTTGGAGGAGTCGGCTTTTATTTGGGAGGAAATCAAGACACCTCTGATTTTATCTTTGACTTTTTCAGCCTCTAACTTCAAACAATGGCTGTCGCTCTGATTTGCATGAAAACCCGATTATCTAAGCCTAATGTGATAATCGGAACTAGGGCTGCACCAATTAATCGATTAATCGACAACTAATCAATTATTAAAATAATCGATGACTAATTTAATAATTAATCGTTTTCTTTTTTTTTGTCCTTTACTTTGTTTTTCACTCCAAACTGCTTTGACACCTTCCACTGCCACATCTGCCTTTCTGTCCTTGACACACAGGCACAGTAGTGGTAACTGGGGTAGGCCGTGGAGTCACAAGTAGGGCTGCACCGATTAGTTGAAATAATCGATGACGTCGATTATGTAAATTTGTCGACGCAGATTTTTTATTATCGATTCGCTGTATTACATAACCACCATGTGAATGTTCTTGCAATTCCATTTCGGTACCTAAAAGCATCATTGCGACCGTATTGGCATGAGAGTGGTGAGTTTTTCATGAAAATATTACAATTACAATAATATTACAATTACAGAAAATATTACAATATTAAAGAACTGTTCTTGTTAATTTGATGAAAACATTTTAAATTTCCAGTGCACTCACATCAGAATAACTTATAGATTTGTTGTTAGAATAATCGATTAATCGACAAAATAATCGTTAGATTAATCGATTAGAAAATAATCGTTTGGTACAGCACTAATTGGAACACATCAAAGCATGCAGTGGAAATTCATTCAGCTGTTCTTGATAAACAGGAAAAAAAGCACAGTAAGTGTGCTTATTAGTGTAATGAATTGTACGTTTTAATTCACATATTAAAGAATGTGTGACTCTGCAGAGGAGGCTTTGATTTTCAGCTCAGTTCAGAGACTCCAAGTTTAGATTGCCTCCTGGCTTCCTGTTGTACAAACATTTCCCATTCCTAGAAGAGAAGCCGTGTGCGGTGGGTGAAAAGTCAAAGTCTTGACAGCGGGACGTGACAGATCAAGGCTCTCCAGTTGTCCTGCACAAGCTAAACTCAAACTGTTCCAAAGAAAGCTGGAAATAGTGGTGTGTAGCGTGCACGTGCTGATTAATAATATTTATTAGGTTTATTTCTTGTCTTGTAGTAAATGTGGGACTCTTCCACCTGAGAGCTGCTTCTTCAGCCTCATCTGCAGCACTGGCTCATTTATGGGTAAGTCATAGTAAAAAAGACAGACATTATAAGATTTATTCTTCTTCTGCTACCTTTCATTTCATTTTATTTACATTTTTGATTTGTGTATTTTCTTTTCCTATTGTATAGTCATTTTTTAAGTAAATGAATACATTTTTTGAACTGAATTAAAAAATGCACCTTGCTTTGCATCCTTGAATGTGAATCAGCCCGAATAAAAGCGTGTTGTTTTTTTTTTGTCCAAAGTGTTTATAATACAAAAATGTGCACGAATGCATAATTTAGAATGAGTTTGTATTTCTTTGAATTAAGAAGGAAAAAAAAAACTGGCGTGATATACCAGATGAGAATGAGCTCTCACGCTGCTCTGCTTGTCTTCTGTGAGGCTACACGTCCTGTTGCCCAGCACTCGCTTCTGGTTCTGGCTTCCATGATCTAGTTAATGTTTCCCAGCTGTGGTTCGGACTTGTTTTCTGTGTGTGTGTGTGTGTGTGTGTGTGTGTGTGTGTGTGTGTGTGTGTGTGTGTGCGCACGCACGGACATGCTGGTTTAGCCATTACTTACGTTGGAACCATTGTAGGCTGTTTTGTATGTTTTATGCAAACTGTAGTCATTGTTAGCATGCAGACGCTTTTATGTGTTTGGATAAATCTTGCGTGGCGTGCCAAAGACTGCTACATCTCAGCGTGAAGTCTGCACAAGCAGCCGTGTGAGACCAGCGTGTTAGTCCAGTTCAATGAGTCTGTCATGGTCCATGTGTACATTATGTTCTCAGTGCTATACAAGACGGAGCAGGCTGAGTTCACACTTAACATTAATACCTGATATATTAATGTGGCATGAAGTTATGTGGTAACTAAACAGCACTGAACCACATTATCCAGCGTTGCTCAACTTTGATCAAGGTTCGTGTCAGAATAAGCCTGAATATAAGCCTGTCATTGCTTTACGTTACACCATCTTTGCTTGCTATTATGACAATATGCATTATAACCATGAGAATGTCGGGTAGGATTACTTCCACTTCTGTTACACATAGATACTGGTAAACATTCTCAGCAAACTTCACAGGTTCCTCATATAATTTCCTTTTTGAAAGCAACAGAAATATTTTGTAAACTCATGAACCTTAGAAGTTCAAAGTAGAGGTGAGTTAAAAGTGAAGACCCTCTAATGGACAGAAAACTGCCGTTACCAGTAGATATGAGCAAACAGAGTAATAGCAGTGTGAATTTGTTCATAGACCATCAGAAGTGGGTAAAAAGTCAACAATGCGCCAAGTATTTGTCTATAAACATGTTAAAAAAATTTTACCAGCAAGCTAACTAGGTTGAACACAGTAACTTTTATCAGTTTTTGCCAAAGTTTAAACTCTTGTGGTCAGAAAAATAAACAAACTCACAGCAGGGGTGTTAAATAAACCATGATGTCTACTACCCTGATTCCAGACAGGGAACATGATATGAATAATATCAATAAAAAGTCAACACAATAAAATTAGAGGAGTACAAAATCATTACATAAACAAAAAGTTTACTTTCAAATAAACGCATCCAGAAACACTGAATTAAAATAAAATAAATGGCCAGTAAGGTTCAAATAAAACCTAAGCTAAAAGTACAGAAATTGTTTTATTTTAATTTTTTTTTATTTATTTAGGTGTACCAGAGCTTCAGCTCTTTGTTTCTCTCCAAGTTCTTACTTCTTCCTACCCCATTTTGAGCATGATATGTTAACTGAAACAAAAATCTGTATTTTTTCCTTCTTTTTTCTTTTTTTTGCACTTCTTGTTACTGTGCACTATTTTATTTTTATATTGTATCATGTTCAAATAAATTTCATTTCATTTCTCTTCTTCAGTTTTTTCAACATAATGCAACTTGTTAGTTTAATATGAAGGTAAAACAGTAACTTCAGAAGCACCTACAGTTGATTGTGCAACTTCTTGTCTCAAACAGCAGCAACTGCAGCCACAGTGATGTAAAAGATTAGCTTTTTCCTGGGTTTCACTACTTATCAGAGTAGTGAAATTTAACTGCAACAAGTAAAATGCTGACTGTTAAATTAGGTAAGTGCTTGGCACAGTCATATGAATTGTTGTGTTAAAATTATTGAAATTTGTGGGAAAATTGTTATTCTAAATCCTTGAGGGATAAATGATTGTAGACGGAGATGTGATGGACTGGAATCCTGTCCGCACCGTGCACTAATATTTACCCAACGTCAGCTTAAACAACCAGTCTTTGTACAGAACCCCTATTTTTTTTAAATCCACCATGTGAGACGGTTAAGAAACAGAAGAGTCTTCTTGTATCTGATTAAGCTAAAATTGATCAATCATCATGGAGCCTTGCAAAGATGTGCGATCATTTTTTTGCAGATCATCTTAAAACCTCTGATCCACAACGTTTTTCAGCTGCACTTCTTAGTCTCAGATTAATTTAAGTCTAATAGGATCCACGAGTATTAACTGGATCAGTAATTATCACTGCTAATGGTTTGAATTGTCTTCAGGTTTTTTTGGTTACATAAACAGCTGATTTTCTCTTCATTTGTATTCCACATTTAATTAGTCTGTACATGGGATTATGTTAATACTGGTCGTAAAGCAAGTCGTTAAGTCTCTACAGTAGTAGGCCACGGCGGTGTGGTATGCAGTGCTACAACAGCTTAGCTTGTTAGCCATTTGATTTATGCTTTCCTTGGAAGAATGTGCCAGCTACAGTTGGCTTTGGGTCAGGCTCACATGAATCTGGAATGATGGGATAGAATAGTCTTTATTGTTATTGCATAAGCCTGTACAAAGAAATTGAACATAGAAAGACATACAGTATATGCATTATATACAGAATATATAGAGACAAAATGAATAATATAAGTAGTTATTGCACTTAGGATGTTTGGCTGGTGTTCAGAGTCTGCATGGCCCATGGGAAGAAAGAGTCTGTTGGTGCAACTCAATGCTTTTGAACCTTCTGTCGGAGGACAGCAGGCTGAGCAGGTGGTGACCAGGATGAAGGTGGTCTTTAAAGATCCTCTTTGCCCGGGAGAGAAAGCAGCTGCTGGCATTATTGTCGAGGGGACAACCAGTTATTTTCTCAGCAGCTTCTTCTTGTAAGCAGAGGTGGAGCCGGGAGTGCCTGGACTTAGCCAGTCATCCAGGGCTTCTGGTTTAGGTAAATCCAGATGTTCTGACATAGCATAGGGTGGAGTCAGTGAAGCCATAGCAGTCAGTGTTTGCAAAGCAGTCCTGCAGCTGAGAGCAGCCTCCAGCCAGGAGAATCACAGAATCACCTCCTGTTAATCCTACCTGTTTAATTTCTGATCCAGTGTTTAAAAAATGCTTGTATTCTTTTTTCTGCATACTCCTGTGTGTGGAGAAATTGCACGTTTGAGTAAAAACAAAAATCCCCTTTTGGGGAAATAGCAGGGGAGTAAGTTGTGGCTTTCTGCAGAAACAAGCACGTACGTAGATGCTAGTTTTTGTAACTGTTCTTGCAACATTATATTTATATACACCTCACTGAAACACAACTTTACATGGAACAGTTCGTTTGTGTATGCAACCGTGTTTGTAGCAGAACTGCACTTCCTGCCGGGGCTTCCTGACTTCAGGGTGCAGGAGTAATAGCTGGAGAGGGCAGCTGTAAAAGGTTAATGAAGGTAGTGAAGTGTTGGCGTGTCGTGTTTATGTGAAATATTCCTGTTGTTGTGCTGACAGGAAGCAGGCGCTTCTGACTTTCTGAGGCCAGGTGGAGGTCAGCTTCACTGCTTACTCATCATAAACTGCTGGTTGTGGAGCACTGCGTGTACCCTCAATGAAAAATATAAAATAGCCCATTCAGATGTGCTTTTGGCGTACTCAGTCAAAATAAAAGATAAGTGGGGAAAAACAATAGTTTTACCCATGAGGGGAAATTGAAAACGTTTATTATCTTTATCCGTCAGGCTCAGCTTTTATCATACTGTAATTGACAAATCTAATCAAGTTTAAACATGCCCATTTGTTACGATGGGAAGAAGAAAATCTTACAATATCAAAAGATAAAACAAAATAAATCAATAAAACATCCAGTCCACTTCATGGAGACTTACCTACTATAATTTATTAAAATAAACTGCACTTCCCTCAGCAATACAGTATGTTCTTCATTATAAAAAATTGCTGGAACGAAACGTCAGGATTGTTTCCGAGCCCGGAGTTGCAGTTTTTTTTTCCACGATTGGAGCTGAAATCACTTTTCTGAGATTGATCGTCATGCAGAGCAGAGGGAAGCTCACATAAACTCAGACACAATGAATGACAGGTCTTAAAAAGAAACAAAAAAAGTATTTAAAGAAAATTAGTTTCACCAAGATGCTTTGTACATAACATTTTTTTAGTTTCCTATTTATATATTGCACATTCTAACAGCTTTCAGTTGTAAAAGAAAACATTACATATAGAAACAGGTTGCAATAATTCATTATTCTGTATCCACTTATTTCACCTAAAATGTGTACCAATGTAAATGCGACGTTGTAAATTACTGTGAGATGTTTTACTTGTACCATCGGAGACAAAAATTGAGCTATGAGGAAATCCTCTCAGTTAATAAATTGTGTCCTAAGTTGATATAAACTGCATTCTCAGGTTTGCAAACAGTTCCTTTGGAATTATAAACTCTGCTCCTGGATTAGTAAACAGGCTTGAAGACTCGAGCATTAAAGTTTTAGTAAAGCTGAACTTTTTCTGGAGACTAATGCTAACGTTTCTAACCCCACAGGTTTGTCCCGTCTTCTTATCTTTTCCATCCAGTTTTGTATTTGTAACTTGGTCGACATTTTCCTGATCAAAAAGGCCAAACATTATTTGTTCTAGTGTTTGCAGTAAAATCATTTATTGTTTGAAACGTGAGTAAATCATTTGTTTAGCTGCTGCACATGAGTGACGCCGGAGTGAATAATTGATCGTTTGTACAGACGTCGTGGCCAAGTTATGAAATGTGTTTTCATTCAGATGCTGACTTACAGCCACAACATTTCTAAATGATGACTGGTCAAGACAAAGTCTTACAAAGCTGGGGAAGTCTAGACTTTCTTAAGGCCTGCTTTTACATAAAGAAGATGACAGGTGTAATTCAACAGTTTAGTCTGTGACATGATGTATAAGCTTCAGGTCGAGCCACAAGGGGCTCCTTGTCTCCTTTAATTCCCTCTTTTCCACTTGTCTTCGGTTTCCCGCTTTTACCGAAAGCAGTCAGCTCTCATCAAGCAGTGGTCACAAAGAGCCAACAAAGACAAACCAGGCAGGGGTCAGCACCTCCGAGCGCCAACAATGGAGCCAGTCAGACTCCATTAGCACATCGTTTCTCATCTGTCCCACATACTGTACTTTGATTCCATTCAGCTTTTCATCTGCAGAGAAATTTCAGTGCCCACTTTCCCGCCATTTCCTACTCATTATTTATTTAATCCAACACAAGTCTCCTTGTAAATCTCAACTTTCCAGTAATTCATGCAATCATTATTTTTTTTTTACCCACCACTAAATTGAAGCCAGGCTCTTCCAAAACAAGCAAGACGATGATTTCCCTGACTTTTCCTCTGGACATTTTTCTCCGAGCAGGATAGATGTTGCATTGTAGCATGGTGTTAACCCAGGTGGCTGTTGTGTTTTGATTTATTTATTTTTTTCTTTCTGCAGTTATGGTGATCGTGCTGCTGCGCTACGCCCACGTTATTGAGAAGCACCAAAACTGTGTCCTCAACATGGCGAGTCTGTCCACAGGCTGGATCTGTTCCGCTGGACTCATCATGGTGGGAAACTTCCAGGTGGGAAAAAATTATTAAAAGAAATGATTAAGGTGCATTCATGATAACGGTAAAAAAATAATAATAAAAGATGACGAGGAACCCTGATCCTCATACAATCTTTAAAATCAGTTGATGCTCAGACTAAATGTTGGGAATGATTCTCACCTACTACCACACCAAATTTTAACTCAGTATCTGTAAAATTAAACGTTAAAACCATATTTTTGTTTTCTAAGTGTAATTACTTATGACGGCCATCTTGAATCAGGACTCCAAAAGTTAATGCCAAACACAAAGTTCTTGCACCGTTTGTTTCTGCTCGCTTTTTTAGCTGTGGAATCCTCTTATCGAAAGGTGATAACGAGTTTCTTTGGCTCAGTTCCTTTTTTCTTCTTTCATATTTTGTAGAAAATCTTCAAGGTTTGTTGATTTCTTTCTCTGTTCTCAAAGACAAAACACGGCAATGTTCTTTTTTCCAGTGAGTTTAAATGTTAAAACCTTCAAGTGCAGAAACTCAACCAGATTTCCTTCTATGCACAACTTTTCTGGGAAAGAATTTCTTGACGTTTAAATATTTGGAGCCCTGGCTGTGCGCCTAGACTGTGTGTGTGTTTGTGTGTTAATTGTGTTGAGGGGACAGAAATCTGTTTACACGGTCACATTTTTGGGGGTCTGATTTCGATTACCGGGGAGCTCCAAAGCATACATCTTTAATGCAAATGAGTTCATCTTAAAGTGTTTAAGAACAGAGTAAAATGTGGGGTTATATAAATTGTGGTTTGGTGTAACTGTTTAAGAAAGCCCAGCTCGAGTAAATGCTTTTGATTGAAATATTTCATTTAAATAAAGATGCTTTGGCTTCGTGGTTAAGACTCCAAGTGTTGTTCTGACAAGTGGAGGACTAAGGGAGTGACTTGAGAGATTAAACAGACACAGTTTGGTTTCATTTTTGTTGTCGTTTGTTTGCCTTGCTGGTTTTGTCCTTCAGCTTTTGAGATTGTGAAATAACTGACAGCTCCTGAGAAAAACTGAAAGAACTCATGACTCATGTGGCTCAATTTTTTTAAAACATTTTTATTGTTAATCCTAAAATAAATCTAAGTTAAAAGTTTTTAAAACAATTTAAAACGTGTTTTTCTTGGATTGTACCCATGGAATATTTGAGTTTTTGAGAAGAACATTTGGTGAAATTAGATTTTTTTTTCATCCTTTTTGTTTTGCCTTGATTGTGATTGCCTGTGTGTGTTCATTTGCTGTGTTAGCAAAATATCTCAAACCACTTGACAGATCCATCCATCCATTTTCTGTACACRCTTTTTCCTTTTCAGGGTCGCGTGGGTCACTGGTGCCCATATCCAGCAGTCACAGTGCGAGGGGCGGGATACACCCTGGACAGGTTGCAAGTCCATCACAGGGCCACATATAGAGACAAACGAGACAAACAACCATTCACTCTCTCACTCACACCCAGGGACAATTTAGAGTTATCAATTAACCTAACAGTCATGTTTTTGGTCTGTGGGAGGAAGCCGGAGTACCCGGAGAGAACCCACGCATGCACGGAGAGAACATGCAACCTCTAAGGTCCCCGGACCAGGATTTGAACCGGTGACCTTCTTGCTGAGAGGCATCAGCTCTACCAACTGAGCCACCGTGCCGCCACTTGACAGATCTTGATGAAATTTTCAAGAAGAAACGCTTTGATGTGCATTTACAATTAATTCGTTTTTGGAGTCAACCTGATTCAAGATGGCCGCTGATGCTAACTAATAACAAACAAAACTGGCTAAAGCTCAGTCAATTTTACAGATATTGAGCTAAAATTTGGTGTGGTAGTAGCTGAGAGTCCTCTCCAACATGTACTCTGACTGCAAACCAATCATGAAAGATTTTCTATTTAAACCTTGCACTGCAGCAGGCATGGTGCTTTCCTTTAAGGAATGCTGGTTTAACTTCATAATAAGTCCAAACTCGGGTGTTTTTAAGTATTTGGTTGAATTACTGTTTTTATCTTTGCTTATAATTTACGTTCAAAGTATTTTTGGTATTTCTCAGATTGAGCAAAAGCTGCAGTCGTTGGAGGAAAAATTTTGTAGGACCTTTTAGAAATATTACTCAAGTGCTTTTAAAGATTACAAGAAAATCTAGCGTCTCGAATCTTAAACTAAAAAAAGTAATAATAAGAAATGATTCAGAGTGTTTCCACGGAAATGAGGATAAAGAATTGTTATACAGGTGTGGGACAGATGTGCAGAGGTAGGAGATGGCATTAGAGTCAAACGGTTTCATCTTTACTTTTTTCCCGGTTCTCCTGCACGGCCTCAGTGCTGCACAACTGGGAGGAATCTACGCAAAGAGCCAGGGGGAAGTGAATCATCAAGTTTGGCCGTGCAAGGAGAGGAGCTGGGCAGACTGGGTGTATGCAGAACAGGACCCTCTGCAACCAATCGCCACCCTGATCCTTGCTGCCCGTTCTCAGATTTCGTTTTCCTACAGTCCGGGAAGGGATGCATACAAAAGTGAAATGCATAAATTACCTTAAAAAAAAAACAACAACAGACTCCTTTAAAAAATGAAGCAAATCTGAGATCTTAGAAACATATTTCTATTGTCAGCTATTGCCAACAAGCTAAAGCAAAACATGTCTTCTAAACTAAACCTAAATCCATCAGATCAAAGTGAATGAAAACATCAGATAAACAAACTGAAACTCTTTTCTAAACGACTTCAGTTTGTACACGTGTGTTATGTAAGACGCTGGCAGCACATCAGTAAGTCTGGCCACCAGGACCTTTCCTGTAAGGGAATCTGATGATTTGGAAAAAGAAGCACATTACTGCTTCACGGAGATTCTTGAATGTCGCTCTGCTTAAGTTAAAACTTCAGGAATAATTTGAATTTTTTTGTGAGCATCTATTCTTTCACGACACATCAGTTTTACCATTCTTTTTTATATTTGTGTCAGCGTTTCAACCCATTTCTCTCTCTCCACCTTCCATTGTGTGTGTCTACAAATGAAAAGCTGCATAAAATAGAGAATGAAACATTTCCATGGCACTTTAAACACATCACTGAGCCAGCATGCAATGACTCTGGTTTATTAGGAAACACAAATAATCCATCAGTAGAGCTCAGACTGATCAGTTATTTTTAAATCCTCCTGATATTGGTGAATGTCATTTAAACTAAAAATTAAAGTTTTGGGTTTTACGTGCAGATTGATAATCCGTACTTTTTACTTCGACTTATCTAGAAATGTAACTTTGTTACCTCAGGGATTTGACTACGGCACAAGAATGTTCAGTATGCACTAGCCGGGTCAGCAGACAAAAATGGCTTTGGACGTAAAACTTGGTAACTTCTCAGCTGTTGTACTAATGAGCCCCTGGAATTACAGTTTGTGGAGCAGTGGGACGTAGTTACTCCACATATCCTTTAATCTTCAGGCGCTGGGCAGGAAAAGCTATTCTCTTTTCATCCGCCTAAATTAGGAGGGTTGTAAAATTCCCGCTAATGCTTCATTGAATTGCTTATCTGTTCTGATCGGTACGTCGGAGGTCTGTGCGTGGGACCCTTCAGTGTGAGCTGTGGTCACATGCTCCTGAGCTGCTCTTTTGTGTATTGTTTCTTATTGTAACCGGCAGAGTAATAGGAGGTTGTGTTTTTGCTGCTGGCCTTTTAGAATGTTTTTATACACCCATCCTAAAATTGAACGCATTATGTTAAGATGATGTCCATCTGTGTGACCCCTTTGTTAAAACCTGGACTCTGCTCCAGCTTGACATCAGAAAACTCAAACCCTTTGTTCCTTAGATTGTACCTATCTGTCCATCAATACGACATGACACAGGAAGTTGTCCAAAAATCTCTATAAATGTAGTTTTTAGTAAACCACTTCCTCCAATGAAATCTACTACTATGATCATAAAATGGTTTGGATCGGCTGGTTGTCATCAACAAGTAAGTTCACATTGTAACTGATAGCTGCAGTTTCAGGTTCCTATGTTTGTTAGAACATGGACGTCATTATCAATAAAACCGAGCTTTCACGTTCAATTTTCACTGTCATGTATAATAATAATAGACACATGCAGTCAGGATTGCTGTGAGAGAATTTGATTTTTAGATTTTGAGAACTCTGATCAAGACAGATGGGTGTTTTGTGTACTGTGTACTCTTGTTCTCTTTTTCAGTTTTGTTACTGAGTATAATCACAACTCTGTATGATCTGACCAGGTGTCATGATTTTTACCATGCCGTAACACCGTCTTATCCTCCTCACCTGACAGGTGGATAATGCCAAAGTTCTCCACTATGTCGGAGCGGGCATCGCCTTCCCCACCAGTATGCTGTTTGTGTGCCTGCAGTCGGCGCTGACCTACCGACTGGCTAAGACCCAGGGGGAGTACTACGCGGCCCACCTCCGGCTCTGCATGACCCTGCTGGCCTTCGTAGCCTTGGTGCTCAGTATCCTCTTAAGCAGCTGGCAGTAGTTTGTTTATTTTAGGGGGAGGTTAAAGTGTTTCCTGCAGTGTTTTTGTAATGGGATCAATACAAGATGTGCAATCAGGCAGATATGCTCTGTGGTTAGTAGTTTGCATTCATCATCATGAGTACAAATATGTGTGGGACTTTAAATGATTTTTTTTTCGTCAGGGTGGAATAATTTACATACGACTTCAACGGTTTTTAGAAAACAAGAATTGCGATTACAAACATCCATATATACTGTACATACACCCTACTAATGTTTGACTTAATGATTCTTAGTAAGTTGCACACACTTTTTGCAGCCACCAACAAGCTTCTCTGCTTCATTCTCAACGATTCTAGATATTCTACAAATTGTTTAAATGTTATGTTGTTTAATCATTCCACTTCGGTCTAAGAAAAGCTCATTAATATTAATATGACATTTATGCCCACGATGAGTGTATGTAAACTCCTGATTGCAGCTGCGACATTGTTGTGAAGATAAATTTTCTTTGTGAAATCCAGACAAAAACACCAGGAGGTTTTTGTGTTTGCACCGAGACTTCAAGCTGCTTTCCTTAACCGTGGTTTTCAGGCGGCGTGTTTTTCTGCCAGGAGAGCTTCGCCCTGCAGCACGCCTCGGCCATCTTCGAGTGGGTGTTCTGCGTCATCATCATGCTGTTTTACGGGACGTTTGCCTTTGAGTTTGCCAGCATGTCGGGCGACACCATGGCAGTGCTGGCCCGAGGCGGGTCCCGCGGACTTGCTGGGAGAGAACATAAAGTGGACGCTCTCGGTGGACTTGTTCAACACTCGCAGCCACACCTGCACCAACCCGAAAGCATGTCCATACTGTAAGGATCTGCCGCTTCTTCAGCTTTAATTCTCTCCAACTCTGGATGTTGAATGAGTTTAATTATTCGACACCTTTGAGTAACGGACGGGCCGGTGCAGCAGCTGTTCACAGCAGGATTTGTGTCTTAAAAAGAAAAAAAAACTTGCTTGCATTTTGCACACTAACCAAGCGTGACACCAAATCTACAGACTGAGTCGTGACGTCAGTGACCAGCATCAGAGGAGTATTTTGTTCTTCATCCCTTGATGTTCTGGACTGGCACGGATTGTGGCGTTGATGCTTTTTTTTGTCTGCACAGAGGTGAGGCTGCTGGACAGCCCAGCTGACAGTATTACAGTAGAGATACAGAAACAACAACAAAAACAGGCCAATGTTTGGCATTTAACAATCAGCTACACCTCAGTTAAGCAATATCCAGTCGAAAATAACATCCCAACTACTCGTGACATCTTATCTGCCTTCAAGCCAAAGATCAGGGGACTGAATGAATCCAGAATGTTACTCAGGAGTCGACCGACCAAGGCGAAATTATTACTTTTTCTTGTGAAAATGAAGATACAATGGTGGCTCTTTGGTGCTCCACTGGGTGTATTTTATAATCAGAATCCAGTATGTGCTGTTTATTTTTGGCCTGTAGCTTCACATCTGCAATGTTTCCCGAAGTTACCCAGAATGCTCGTAATGCGTGATATTCTTGTCGTATTTATTTCTAACAGTATACAGAGTATACACCGGGTGCCTTTTAAAGGTTAACTGTAAGATCCAATGCTGGAAAGAAAAAAAAGTGTTTTTCCTGCTTAGCGTAAGAAACAACACAAGACTGATGTTGACCCTAAAGTGATATTGGCTTTAACTTCCTGTGTGTGGCAGAATAAGAGGCCAAACAAGCCAATTCAAGCCAGGGCGCCGGCTTTATTGAGTTTAGGGACGAGTGCTTCTTGGTTTAGCTGCTTGTTTTCTTTTTAAAGCCCTGAAAACTACCAAGTGTTCTGCACATGGAGCTGAGACTGTAACCGAAGACATGACTTGAGACTTCTTTATTTTGTGCCAAGTACTAGTTTGTCTGTGCTTCATCACAAAAAAGCTTTCATACCATCATCTTCTCATCTCTTTGGCTTTATTATCTACTGTTTTAAAGCAATAAGATGAGGCGTAGGATCATAATGTTACCAGGAATACAAACGGAGAGAAATGTTGTTAGTTGTTGGGGAAAAAACAAAGTTTGTGTTGTCACCACTCCCTTAATTCCCATTGTGCCACATGTTTTTGGGCCGAGGGTTGCCAGAGTTTTAAGTGCAAGGGAACTTTTAATATCCCGTTACACAATTTGTTCCTGAAGGTTTGACATGTACTAAAGCTGGATGTAAACTTGTCAACAAGGTGGAGCAAAAGTTTGAGGCAGAAACGGCAGCAGCTCTGATGGCCTGCCGCCCTCTGCTGGTCAAACAGCCTCAATGCAAGCTTTAAAATCCGATTTTACACTGAAGTTCGTTTCACATGAAGTTTTTTGTTGAAGTTGCTCATTCTTTCGTGCGCACAGTTCCAATTCTTCATTTCAGTTCAGTGCTTTAAGTCATTCCTCCGTACACTACTTTCACAAAACTTATTCTCCTAAAAGGTCAGTATATTCAGAACGTTAAGCCATGTGATGGTGCTTCCTGTGCTGCTCCGACAAGAAACTTTTTGTCATTTCTCAGTGTTTACTAAAAGCACTTCATTTGATATTTTTTAATGTCTCATAAAACACTAGTCAAGATTCCAGTCCTTATTTCACGTCAGTATCTTATGACCTCTTATGTCTTTTTGATCTTTGCACTCAGGAAACTTGTTCAACACCAGCTGTATTTTTAATTCAAACCAGGAAGAAATCGCCTGTTCTTTTTGTGTAGTGTAGATGCATCAGCTTTTTCACTTGTAGGACTGATTTTAGTTGTGATATCAAAAAAAAAAAATCCTGTAATAACAGCTTATAAAATTCCTTGTGCTGCTCATGCAAACATAGTGAAACGCTTGCAAAAACTTCAGCTTCATGCAATCAGCGCATCAATAAGAGCATTTAGACAAACTAACCAGCAGCTGTAAATCAATCAAAAAAAAAAAAGGTCAGTTTTTGGGACATTTATGCCAAATTTGTTATGTTTTAATTGCAAAAAATGCTTATTGTGCCTTATGTTTTATAGTGATAACCAAACAGGTGTAGGTTGTAAATTCTGCTGTTTTGATGCAAAGTCAAATGATTGTATGCAGACTATACGTTCTAATGTTCTATAATAAAAAAATAAAGAATTGAATGGGTGCTTTGCTTATTTGTGTACAAACTGGTTGTTCTACTTTTATAAAAACAGCCATTTTTTCCTCAACATTTTATATTATTACCAAGCTACATGATAAACAAAGACCTGTTTGTGCTTAAACTGTGTTGGAAGTCAGTTTCAGCTACTACCACCCCAGGTTTTAGTTCTCTACATGACTAATTGGCATGTAGTTTTACAAAAACCAAGAACGATGAAACATTTTAAGGTGGGAAAACTAACAAATAGAATAAAAACATATAGTCCGTGGACTAATAGAGTTAGACAGTTATTTATATCTGTAGTTCATTTATTGGTTCATTATTTACATCGTCCAGTTTCTCTGACAATAAAAGTTATCAGAGGGTGACACAGAAAACACGTTAAACAAACATAATGCCGGCTGCACACGAACCATTAAAATCTATAGACTCTTCAGAGGGATTTAATTCAATACTCAAAATTACAATTTCTAAATGCTCTGTTTTGTTTTTAATTTTAGAGTCATCAGGAGGGTTGCAATGAGACTACAGTCAAAGATATTTTACTTGTGCTTTCAGATTCAATATAAAATCTAAGGAAATGTACATCTGCAGAAAAGCAGATCAGGTTTCTAAATTTAAGACATGTTGAGTATTAAAAGCACTAAATGCTTCATTCCTAACAGACGAATCCACAGGAAATTTAAGCTTTTTAATAACTTGGTAAAATTAGAGGCTTACAGGCAACTTAAAAAAAAGACCTGAGGATAAATCACTGATGAATCAGGTGTTAAAAACTGCACGGCTGACCCGCTCAGCAGCTTTCTGCAGCACGTTGCAATAGAAAAAAGGAATTTCGCTTCCAACACAAAAACGGTCCATAAGTTCCTAAAATCTTTGGTTTAAGCTGTCGTCACATTTGTGAAATTAAACCTCCTGCTGCCCTCGGGTCATCCTCGTTGCTCATTTTGACCCAGAGGCAGCAGCAAGGTTAATACTGATGTTCACTGGTGAAAGCACCTTGTAAAGCTGAGGTTGCTCCATTTCATCAAACTGGCCAGAAAAACAGAAAATACTAACTTTGAAGGGGACATACAGTTTCAGCCCAAAGCATTGTAGTTCCAGTTTCTACAGACCCCAACTGAATGATTTAAATATGAAAAGGAAGGATTTAAAAGCATGATACGTCTATTTTAAGGTAAAATATTCTCTGGTGTCACTGGGACTACATGAACATTTGAAGCACTGACAGCTGAATATTTTGTATTCTGGATATAACTGGCCTAAAGCACCCTAATTATCTCTTTACACCATTTATACAAACCTATTTTCCCTTTACTTCATAACTCTCTGTATTAACCCATTCAGACCTGATGCACTGAACACGGCATCATTTTCAAGACACTGTCTTATTTCCTCAGATCGAGTAACGTAAGCCAAACGTTAAACTTCTTTCTACATAATGTTTACGTTTGTCAGCAGGGAGTGAAACTACATTTTCATGTTAAATTTTCCAGAAAACCTTCAGATTTAGAAATGTATATTTTTTTTCATGAAGCCTTTGATCTGAATGGGTTAAAGACGTGTGATGAAGTCGGCAGCTACAGCTCACGGTGGAGCGTCTCCTTCGCCCTCCGGGTCGGTCCATCTGCAAAGTCTTTAGAAGACGAGCGTTTTGGGCACCTCCCAGGAAAACTCCGATCGTCCGAAGTGACCGTAGGCGGCAGTCTGTTGGTAGATCGGCCTCTTCAGCTGCAGATCTCTACGGTTCAAACAAAAAAAAATTTAACAATATTTTTATTATCTAAACTGGTAAAAATGAACCAAGCTGTAATAAATGCTTTATTACTCGAGGAATAGCTTTTATGAGTGACGTGTTTACCTGACGATGACTCCTGGGCGCAGATCGAAGTTCTTGTTGACGATCTTGAGCAGTTCGGACTCTGTTTTCTGGGACGACCCATATGTGAACAAGGAAACGGACAGGGGGTGGGCCACTCCGATAGCGTAGGACACCTGCAGGCAGAAACAGACGTTTTTTACCCATCAGCACCTCGGATTTATCACCTCTGAGTGAACCTCCGGCCCTCACCTGAACCAGAACTCTCCGGCACAGTTTGGCTTTGACCAAAGACTTGGCCACCCAGCGAGCGGCGTATGCGGCCGAGCGGTCCACCTTCGAGAAGTCTTTGCCCGAGAAAGCTCCGCCTCCGTGAGCGCCCCAGCCTCCGTACGTGTCTACGATAATTTTTCTGCCCGTGACTCCCGCATCTCCCTGATAGGCCAAGCAAAACAATTAATTTTCTAATTATTTTAATCATTTGTAAAAAAAAATAAATAAAACACCAGTCGGCGACGGAGGCTGACCTGGGGTCCTCCGATGACGAAGCGACCGCTTGGCTGGAGGTGGTAGATGGTTTTGTCGTCCAGATATTTAGCAGGAACCACAGCTTTGATCACCTGATGGAGAGAGTTACGATTAAAACACGTTTTTTTTAAATAAAACAACACATCAGAACTCAGTGTGTGTGTGTGTGTGTGTGGGGTTGGGGGGTACCTTCTCACTCAGGATTCTCTGTTGTTCCTCCAGGGTGACCCCGTCATCGTGCTGCACAGAGATGACGATGGTGTGAACTCTTTTGGGAATCACAGCTCCATCCTTCTGGTCATAATGTACCGTCACCTGGAGAAAAAAGATGATGTGTTGGTAACTGTTCTAGCTTCTGTCTTATTCATCCAGTTTTCAGCTGCAGATGTTGTTCCGGTGATCTTATTTTCTTCCTGTAGAAAATATACTATCACATTCCACTAAATATGTTCAGTGTGTGACAGTTCTGGTAGAAACCATGCTGTGTTAAGACCTGCAGAAGGTCTTCTGGCATCAACTCGATGAGTTAAACAAAGACTTTCTTTGAAAAGGTGTCATCTACAACCTCTACTGATATCATTCAGCATCATTACTGCTTTTACAGAAGCTGGGTTTTCAGAACTATGAGCAAAAACAAACCCCAAAATCATGAGATATGTTGGATTTTGAGCTTTCTGTTAATAGTTAATAACAATATTACTCTGAATTGCTTGAAAATAAAATGTAATTCGATTTTTCAGATCATTAAAAGGTATTCATTTTATCTCAGTCTATTTTATATCTTACTAAATACATAAAAGGCAGCTGGGCTACTGAAATTTTCTTTCTTTCATGCATGGTTTTGCCTGATTTTTGTAAATGTGGGGAAGAACTTTCTTCGGTGGATTTCAGAGGCGTTTGAGTTGATGCAGTGCATGAGTCCATTTCAGTTCTTGAATAAAATCATATTATGCAAATGACAAAAAGCCGAATTACTTTTTTTCTTTTAAAGGGGCAATATCATGTAAAATCAACTTTTTTGAGTTTTATATCATGTTATAGCGCCCCCCCCCCACCCTGCCGCACTGAAATGGGTGGGACAGAAGTGGAAGGTGGTTCTTAAAGAGACAGAGGCCAATTTCAAGGTGTTTAGAAGAGGAAGTGATGAGAAGATAAGTTTATTTTCTATTTAAACATAAAAACAGAGTTTTAATAACAACTAAAGGTGACATAGATACTTTATTATGGTATAGTATTTAAATGTATGCCTGAGAAACACATAATATTGCCCTTTAAATGATTTAAATCTATTGTATCTACAATGAGCTACATCTGATTAACACACACCTTTGATCTGATTTTATGTTTCTGAGAGCAGAAAAGAAATCATTTCAGAGGAAGACTGGGTTTTTTCCTGTGAAATGGTTTAACCTTTTGTATTTGGACCACTGAGACCGTCAAGACTTTTAAATCTATCCTTAAGACCTGTCTTTACACCTTGGTTTTTGATTCTGGCCGAAATTGAGATTCTCTCATTTTATTCTCTTATTCTTAGATTTTTGGACATTTCTGTGCGTGTTTGTTTGTGTTGTTGATGACGTCCTCACCTGTGTCTTAGAGTCGGGGCGCAGCCACGGGACGGTGCCGTTGCGTCTGAGTTCGGCCATCTTTGAGTTGAGTTTGTGGGCTAGGACGATGGTGAGGGGCATGCACTCCTCCGTCTCGTCGGTGGCGTAGCCGAACATCAGACCCTGCAGGGGAGGGGAAACGCAGAGGTGAATTTTTAAATCCAGAGGAAAATAGCATTACTTTAATCACGTCGCCTTTATAAAATCTTGTTTTTATTAGACTAAATAGAATTCTTAAAAACATGCATAGATGTAAAACCTAAAATCTTTAAAGATTTATTTGCAATCTCTATAAAAAAAGACCTAAAAAATAAACTTATCAGCTGAGTTTAGATACTCAGAGGGGTTCAACTACTAAACTGTCAAGTAAAGAGCTCGATTAGGCTCAGTTAGTTCGATCAACGTCAACAACAAGCAGCTGAAACATGGACATAAGAGTTTAAGCTGGACCATTTCTTCAAGACGTTTATTCATATTCTGAATTATGGAGGTTTTCTTTCAGGAAAAGTTATTCATTTTCGGTTGCATCCTGCATGTAACATTAAATGTTTTACAATAAATATAAATGCATTTTTGGAAAGATTATATTGATAAAACTGCAATAAACTATTCACGCCACTGACATGAGCAGTTCTTGAGATATTTACATGTGAGGTCACAGGAAGTGATGTCAAAGGGGAATGTCTGCTAACAACACAGACTGTAGAGAAAAATCTAATGTTTCTTTGGATTATTTTGAATCTCTATCAGAGAGCGCTGAAGAAGAGTCAGAGTTCAAATAACATTTCAATAAACAAAGATCAGAGTTTTCTTTAATTAAGAGTTTCTCTTTAATGTCACTTCCTGTTTTATTTTGGCTGAGCTAAAGAAAAAATGCCAGTTTTGTGACAAAATGGGTAAAATCTTATGTATTACGCCAAGTTTCTTAAATATAAGGATATTTTCTTTGACTTTTTGTATTTAAAGGATATGCACGTCACGGGTACTTTAACAGCTTTATTCTTTTAAATTTAACACATAAGTAAAGATCAGAACCACTGCAGAACTGAACGTTCTGTAAACAATCCCAGCAGGTTGTCCAACAAGTCAGACGTTGCTGATCTTTGGTACAATCGTCAAGTCAAACAACATTTTTTCTGTTCCTATGATCTCACCTGGTCTCCTGCTCCAATGTCCTCTTCCCGTCTGTCAATATGGACGCCCTGAGCGATGTCCGGACTCTGCTGCTCCAGAGCCACCAGCACGTTACAGGTCTTGTAGTCGAAACCTGCGAACAGAAATCAAGTCTCTTAAAGCTGAAGACGCGTAACGTCTGTCTTCGCTGCTTTGCGCTTCTGTTTCCTCACCCTTTTCAGAGTTGTCGTAGCCAATGTATTTAATGGTGTCCCTCACCACCCTCTGATAGTCCACGTTAGCCCGAGATGTGATTTCACCACAGAGCAGCACCATGCCAGTCTTACACACTGTCTCTGAGAACACAACAAACACAACAATCTAAAAATAAAACACTTTAAGGTGGATTTAGACTTCTAATAAATTAGAAACAGGAATGACAAAACCACGACATGTTTGTCTGCAAACTTACGAATAAAAAACATTTACTGAAATCCAGCAAATAATCTGAACCCTGCAGGGTAAAAGTCAAACTGATCAATGATGTGAAGGTAACGACACAAAGATAAAACACGTGTTTTCAACAGGTTCTCGCTCACCACAGGCCACTTTAGCATCAGGATCCTGCTTCAGGTGTGCGTCCAGGACAGCGTCACTGATCTGGTCACAAATCTTGTCTGGTGAAAAAAGAAACAAACAAAGTGTAAAATTTGAATTTTAAAAGACATAATGAATTATTTTATATCTGAAAGTTCTGTTCTAAATTGAACACCAACAAGTTGTGTTTGTAGGCCGAGTTCCCTCACAGGGAACAGGTCGATGTTTCAAACAGAAGGTGTTTTTGCGCTCAGCCTGACTGTGTGCGGTTCGAGCGCAGCAGGGGTACAATGGGTCACGCAAGCTGCCCACGTTCGATCCTTTTTGTCATCGCTCTGGAGCAATGCAGTAAACAGGTTGCATCAGAATCAACACCTGGCTGAACGGACAGCCCCAGAATAAAACTGTTTTTTTTTTTCATATTTACTCAAACTGACTTGGACTTTTATCTAAACGTATCTTTAAAAAAATGGCTGCTATCTGTGGGAACAGTCCAGATTTGAAGCGTTATCGAATCAAAAGGTGTGCTCTGCTGCCTTCTACCAAGGTCAAACTCCTGTGCATGTGCAGAAATTATATAATTATAACCTTAATGTACTTTAAGATTTTATTCTTCTGATTTTATTCGACCCACACTGAGATCAAAGCACAGATTATTAAAGTAATGTCTCGTTCTGAGGGCTAAAAGTCATGTTCATTAGCTCTAACGCTTTACCATGCATGTGCATTTAACGGTTATTGATTCTGCACAGGGGACTTTGTAAGATCATATTTGTAAAAGGATTACAACACACTGACGGACAGCGGTTGGCTGAGTGGTGTCCACATGCAGCGGTGTACAGAGCACCGTAAAATTTAACTTTCATCACTGGGCTGAGAGTTCAACGACTCCCACACGTCACTCTTCTTTTTTTTTTTAATAACGTCCCTCAGTGTGAAACCTTACACCGGCGCACCACACGCCTGCTTCCCACAATGTGAGCGCTGTAAACACATGTTGCAGTCAATGAAATTCCAAACACGGCTGAATGAGTAAATCTTTTGAGCCATTTTACGTTCAACTTTCATAGTGCGAGCCCATGTGCGGATTCATATTTGTCGTTCAATCGCAAGATTTGTACCTTTCTGTTTTCAAAGCAGAAGCTGAACCCTAGCGGAGTTGAGTTTCTTTTTATCGTTTGCACAGGTGGTTGAAGTTAACCAAAGACTCACCTGGGTGTCCCTCTCCCACCGACTCCGAAGTGAACATGAAAGAGCCGTCGTCCAGAATGTCGCTCATTTTTGACCTGGGGGATCCAGACGCTCGGCGAGGTTCCTGATTCTCCGACAGTCCAACGGGAGCCGAAGGCAGCTTTTATTTTCCTGCCGCTTCTCCTTCCCCCAGAATCCCCTGCAGCCAAGAGAAAGTCTGCTCAACAAAACTCCACGTCTGGCTCCACATGGCTCAATATATATGGCTGAGGGGGACACGCGCACACACGCACACACGCACACACACACATGTCATGTGAATCCATGGGACACTCCATTCCAGGGGGAGTGAATGCTGGGTGGGTATTTCAGCTCACAGAAGCAGCTTGTTAACCCTTTGTGAGCAACCTCATGTTCAAGTGTGTGTTTATAGCTGCTACCTGAGTGGAGGCAGGGGGCTCTCACTTTGGAGGAGGGGTTCCCCTTCCCCCTCGTCTCACCAGGGGGAACAGATCTGTCTGCCGAACTTGGAGGAACAGAGCAGGGGTCACTCAAAATGTGATCAGGGGCCAAACTTTTTCGAGCAGGCTGTGCGAGGGCCTTTCATGCAAGAAATGAATAATTATTATTATTTATGTGACTAAGCCTGAAAGCAGGAAAAAATTAAGGGTAGGTTCATTTTAAAAGTGAGAAATAGAATATAAAAAAATCCAGAAAATGATAAATTATGTAAATTTGTATGCATACGTACATACACACTAATGGTGGAAAACAAGTTATTAGAGATGAACCAGACACAAAAAATGTCATAAAACTGTAAATCCAAGTTCAGCTCTCATCTAAATCAGTAAAGTTTCATTTTCAAATATTGTTTTGTTGTTGTTTTAAATGTTTCTGGTCGTTAAAAATAATTAGAGAATTTCCTGCAGAAATAAGGGGTGCACCAAAAAATCGTTTTAAATCGGAATCGTGATTTTCGTTTACAAAGATTCAGAATTGATTTAAAATGTCCCGAAATCGATTTTTAAATTATGTATATACACA